GGTGAGGCCAACCCACCTGAGGTATCATCTACTCATTAAGATTCAAACCCATTGCATATAATGCCCTAAAAATTACCACTAGGATAGCCTTGTAAAAATTCGTTTACATCATATTCCTAATTCAATTTCTTTTATTTCGTTTATTGCTTGTTTTTTGTGTAAATTATGTATTGTATACTAAATAAAAAAGGAATGTAGTGGAATTAATTCAATTAGGTGGGTTAGATTTAATTAACATGGATTATTCTAAAGGCTATAAAGCAAATGGGCCAACGGTCAAATTTTTCAGCTTAACTCTCCTTTAATAATATTAATAACATTATATATATATATATCATTTAAACATTTAATGGATCATGACACTAATAAGCGTGTATGTGGCAATTCAATATGATGATAATGATCGTAATACTATATCAAAAAACTTTTATAAATAGAGGGGAATGAGATTAAAAGTAGTAGTTCAATTTACAATTTAAACCTCACAATTAAATAGGGACTAAATTCAAAAATAAGTATTTTAGTCAAAAGAAAGTTCTACAATCTTATTCATAATTTTAATAGTAGCATAAATATAGAATTATAGATGTGTTCATTTTTTTTCTATAATTTGTTTTGATATTTGTGTGTAAAATTATTTCTGAAGTGCCACACTTACTTTTTGTTTAATATGATAATTTTATAATATTAATCATGTATCTGAATGTTTTTTTTTTGCAAAATTTATGTATTTTTTTCATTTTTATATTTTATATTTTATTAATTTTTATACATTAAATGTTAACACATTTGACCCAAAAGTTAAACTATTGATCTTTTTCAAACAATAAAATAATTTCATTTTTTGTTATTTCTAAATTATGTATTTAATTTTCATTATTAATAAAAATAATTCTTGTCTATTACACTTATTTTTTAATTTTATTAATAAAAATATCATAAATGTGTCTATTTTTTCTACATTTTTGTATTTTTCTATATATTTTTTTTTATTTTAAAAAATTTATTACCAAACTATGATTTCATCGGTTGATCAATTTGATTCAGTTGTTTGAATTGCTTAGTCACCACTTGGACAAAGAATAGTTTTGTGTTTGAGTCAGTTTTAAAATATATGGGTTTGTATTGTTTAAAAATATTAACACATATCTAATTAATAACATTTATTAGTAAATATAAGACTTAAAGGGAGGGGATTAAATGAGGTGAAAAGTAATAATTGAAATTATATTTTCAACCCTTATAATTAGAGATGGGCTTAATATACAAATATGGACATTTTAATCATCACTAGTAAGTGTGCATGTGCTTTGCACGTGGTAATTCTGGATGATGATAATGATATTAATAATGTATCCAAAATTTTCTATAAACTTTATTTGTTTTTTATTTTTGATTTTTATTTTTAATTAGGTGTAGAATGCAAAAACCAAATTTGATTACATAAACACCTCATCCAAATATGTGATAATCGGATCAAGTTGTGAAGTTTCAAGTATCATTCACAAGCCTACCAGCTTGGCTAGACTATTCTTTTTGTAATGTTTTATCTTTTTAGTGTATCTTTTTTATTCATTTATGAAAAGAAAGATTTAAATAGAATTAATTAAATGAAGTGAAAAGTAGTAGTTCAATTTATAATTTAAACCTTGCAATTAAATAGGGACTAAATTCAAAAATGAGTATTTTAGTCAAAACAAAATTCCATAATCTTATTCAATTTTTCTCTATATATATATTTGTATTTTTCATTTTTTGTATTTATATTTTATTAATTATTATTATTTATTTATGACATTAATGGTAACACATTTGACCCAAAAGTTGAGTTATTGATATTTGTCAAATAGTAAAATAATTTCATTTTTAGTTAGTTCTAAATTATATATTTCATTTTCATTATCGATATATAAAAGTAATTCTTGTTTATTACACTTATTTTTTGTTTTGATTAATAAAAATATCATAGATATGTTTAATTTTTCTATATTTTTGTAATTTTCGATATTTATTTGTATTTTAAAAATTTTATTACCTAACTATGATATGCTACACTTACTCTTTTGTTTAATATGATAACTATATGATATTATACACATGCCTGAATGTTTTTGCAAAATTGATGTATTTTATATTTTATTAATTTTTATTATGTATTTATGACAACAAAGGTTAACACATTTGACCCAAAAGTTGAACTATTGAATTAGTGTAATTCTAAGCACAAGATTGGTATCACTATGGGATACCATAAGGTAAAGGATTCTTTAATGAAATAAGGCAATATTATTAGCATGTATACCTCAATGGCATCAGTTAAGTTTGAATAGTTTTACACTTAATCACAAATATCACAATAATAAATACCCATTTGAAATTTGACCACTCTTAATTTCCAAGGTGTTATCATGTTCATGAAGAATATTGAATTTCTTCCATTTTAGCATTACGCCTTGTCAAAGCTATTAAACTTAAATCCTTTTTGTAAACTTCTATTTAGATTTTCTTACTCATTAGGTTCATAATTCTAGCTCATAGGACTATGTTTTCCTTGAAGTTTCCTAAGGATGGGGTTGGTACAACTAATGTACAACGTAAGGTAAAGGATTCCAAGCTGTTATAAGGTAATGTGGTATGGTCACTTTAGTTTGAATTTGAATGGAGTCATACTTGGGCTCAAGTATCTTAATATAAATAACCATCAAGTCTGAACACACTTATTTTGTCTGATGAGGGTACCACGCGAAGAGGACTGATGAGGTTTATCCGAGCTAAAAAAAAAGTCGGTAGAGCTGCTTAATCTGTTGGCCATCAACTTCCTGCGTGAACCATGATTGGCTCAACCAACGAGGACAACCTTATTCTAAGGTGCCTGTCATCAGACTGTTAGTTGTCATGGTCATTCTGCTGCTACCTGTTCTGCATTGACATGAATACGTCGAGCTACTCCCAGTAGCGGGGTATTTATTTTGGGCACTGGGGATGTTGAGTTCGTCTTGAACTTGTTTGATTGTCACAAGGGAGTTCTCCAAGTTCATCATAGAGTTTTTGCCCCCTAGTAATTGGTATTCGTTCTAGGTGTTGATGCTGCTCAAAGGTGCCTTTGAGTTCATAAAAAAATGGAAATTAGAAAGTGAGACCTTTAGATTTTTTATAAGGTGAGAACTTAGCTTTCTGGAAGAAGAGGACTTAACCTTTTAGAAGGTGAGAACTTAGTTTCTTGTAGCGTATCCCACAAATGGCGCCAATTGATGAATCAATTTTTTGGTCTTTCAGAAGGTGAGAACTTAGCTTGTTGTAGCTTTTCCCACAGATGATGCCAATTGATGAATCAATGTTTTGGTAGCACTCTGTCGTTCGGACTACTTCCAAGTGTCCGATGACTCAGAGGCAGAAGTAGAGAATTTTTGCTGGATGAGGATCTGGATGCCGAGCTGACTAGGCCAAGCTAGGAGTGGATTAGGTGCCGAGTTGACTAGGTCGAGCTAGGGGTGGATTAGGTGCCAAGCTGGGTTGAGTGCTGAGTTAGGTAGCTCCTTAGAGAAATCTGCAAAGAATCAATGTCAGAGGACTTGGGGTGCCTAACTCGGCGATGTCGCTCCGATGATTAAGTTAGTACTCTCGTAGTAGATCGCGAGGTAAAAAATCATAAAGTATGAGAGCTAGAATGCGCTTATTTGCCCCTCCCTGCGTCATTGGGGTTGGTGCCTTTATATAGGCATTATTTGATGTGGGCCTCACGTACTGTTCCGAGATACTTGGTGGCAACCGCCATGCACGTTGACCATCCTTCGGAATGTCTGGGTAAAGGCAAGTCGCCAGGTCGGCGCCAGAGGAAGGTCGCTAGGTCGACATAAAGGCAGGTCGCCAGGTCACAAGTTGGAACACCATCATTTTGGCTAAGGCAAATTGTCACCTAGGTGGTTCTAGGTGTCACCTATTTGTTCCATGATGCCATGTGTCACAATGTCATTGGAGGGCCAAATCCACCATCATCAATTGCATATTAGGCTTATTCGCTGAAACCTTTGCTAGATCTCAATAGAAAAACAACTTCAAAATGTATCAACAGATTGCCATGTAAATATAATGTTAATAGATGCATTTGATCGAGCAAGTAATTTACAATGAATCGACAAATTAACTAAGATAAGTGTTTATCTAATAAAAGTTTTACCAAATAGTATTCTAGAATAAATTGTTCACATCCATTTAATAATGGGCCCTCATCCTATATAGTTTTAAGTAGAGGGCACGTAGTTTTTGAATAAACACATTGCACACTTGCATGCCATACTAAACGAGAACCTTACATCACGTTGGCACACTTGCATGCCATGAAGACAGAATAATAGATGGACCGGTAGCTGATAACAATTGAAAACAAGGGATTTTTTTATTTTTCATTTGAAAACATATAAATTAGATGCTTTGGTGGATTTGCAATCCCATTTCTGTGAAACTCCGTCTCTGAACAATATGGAGGGTCGTTCTTTGGGTTTAATAAAAGGTTCATGGACCCGAGAAGAAGATACTCTTCTAAGGAAGTGCATAGAGAAATATGGAGAGGGAAAATGGCATCTGGTTCCTTRTAGAGCAGGTACTATTCTTATTTTCTTTTCTTTTTTTCTTTGGAGAGAGAGAGAGTCACCAGTTGCTACGATGTTGCATGGTGCAATGTTTATTTAAAGAAAGCTTAGGCCCCATTTGATGTGTTTTTCTATGCGGTTTTTTGCCTGTTTACAAATTGGACGGACTGTGTTGTGGTCTTTTTCCATTTGGCTCATAACAGATTTAACTGTCAAAAGTTGGTGCATCGAAAAGACATGAAAAACCCATTTTGGGTTGATTGGGAAGTTTCAAATAGAATTTTTCGGTCTGCTCAATATCTTCATGCAAAAGTTCAATGCGTATTTTGAATGTCAAAACTATTAAAAGATCTTTTCAAAAACCTAACAAGCAACCCCTTAATTTTCTTCTTTTTGGTGCCTATTTCATTCTCTTTTTCTTTTTGAGATTTATTGTTAAAGTTTTTGGTTATAATTCTTGGGTTCAGGTCTACGGAGATGTCGAAAGAGCTGTAGATTGAGATGGTTGAACTATCTTAAACCGGATATCAAGAGAGGGAAATTCACGTTGGATGAAGCTGATCTCATATTTAGGCTCCACAAACTCTTAGTTAACAGGCAAGAGGGTGCAGCATTTCTTCCTGCATTTCAATTACCATGAAAGTTATATTAAAAGAAAATTAAAATCAACCCTCATAAGATTGCATGCATTTAGGGAAATATCCGATGTAGTAAATGAGCTCAGATCGTATACCAACAAAACGCTCCCAACTTGTTCCTAATGTGCGGCTGCAGTGGCCTGCCTACAGGTACATGCATGGGTTCGGGATGAACATTTTGCTGTGGGTGAATTGAGATACTCCCTCCCAATATGAGTATGTAGTGTTAGTGTGGGATAGGGAGGGATGTGAGAAGAGTTTGTGGATGGGAGATCCAAATCCACTACCACTGTTGTGTTGTGTGATGTGGGAAGAGTTTGTGGGTAGGACATTTAAACCCACCTCGGATTCAAATCGAGACTGGATCTTCTCCCCTCAAGAATTCTGTCTATGCCTACTCACAAGTTTGGATTGGATCCAATTCTACTTGTACAAGTTTGGATTGGCTCCTCAGAGAGTGTATCCCACACGTGGTGCCCCATAGTACATCCTAACCATGCATTGCGAACATCTCCTGTACTTCTCATTGGGAGATGTTCCCAATGCACGGTTCGATTGTGCTATGGGACACACTTTGTGGGGAGCCAATGTGAATTTGACTTACATGCCTACGGCATAGAATTGACAACAAGGCGGAGCGGGGCCAGTTTTGCATGCCCCACCCTATCCTCACCCCGAACCTCATCAGGGCTAGAAATCCCAACCCCATTTCCATCCCTCTAGGAAATAGGGATCCCCGAATTTTTCCCGCCCTGCCCTAGCCGATCATTCCAACTTGCATACTTACCATTTTATTTTCTTTTATATTTTTGAAGAATTATAATATATTTTGTAGTAAATATAGTATAATATAATTTATATTAGTATATAATATATTTCGTAATAATATATATATATTAATATAAATTATATTGTATTATATTTTAATACAAAATATATCATAATTCTTCAAAAATATTAAAAAAAAGTGAGAGTACATATGCTAGTTTAGGGCAGGGTGGACAAATACCATCCTCAAACTCAACCCAATTCCCCTAATCAATGGTAAAGAAACCCACGGGGACTGGGGCAGGGTAGGGAAAAATTGTAGTGTCTAATATCACAAGACATCAGCAGTGTCATTTCTGGCATGAAGACGAAGACATTCTCCATCTATAATATATATCAAATCTAAGTAGCTCTACTTTGACTAAATAATTAATCTTTTCTAGCTTTTAGATGGTCGTTAATCGCAGGTAGACTGCCCGGGAGGACGGCCAATGATATCAAGAATTACTGGAACAGTAAACTGAGCAAGGAGAATA